TCTTTCCCGTTACATTTTGTATCTACCTTTACAAAAATTAGTCGATATTTAGTTATCACAACACCCCTATCTCATCTCTGTTTTCTAGTGATCTCTGGATAAAAATACCCAAAATTTAAAAACCCATTAAGCTCTACTATGCTAAGGAGCTATGAAGAGATCATTTCCCTGGAGGCAGGGAGTGGGTATAGAAATTTGGGAGATCTCTGGCTAAATCATGAAAGAAAAAAAAAAATCTGGAGGACAGTATCTCCTGCTTCCTCCTGTATTACTTCTGGAGCGTGGTGCTTGCCAAGGTAGAGCTTCAGCTATTTTTTCAAGCAGAACAAACTGTTAGGAAAACACTTCCAAAGAAACACTCACCGTATGAAGTCAGAGGGTCTGGACTGGCCCCTTGGTTCAAGGTAAGAACCTAAAGGGGAGGGCGGCATAATAGAGGTCCCCCAAAGCAGGGTGACCTACATAGATGCTATACTTTGGGAATGATGTCTGAAAGAGCCCTCACCTCCCAAGGGAGCCTGAGGCTGGACAGCATCTCAGGGGCTATCCGGAGGTTTGGAGCTCTACATACCTCCTCCTTTGTAGCTCCAGGGTGTCGGGTGCCACACTGCCATCTGACCTCTATTATAGGTGCTGGGGTATGGCTCCCACCCAGATCATGAGCCCTGAGAGGGAGGGGCCCAATCTTGGGCTTCTCCATATTTCCCCAACAGAGCCAAATAAGGTGCCCTGATCATAGCATGTATTACATAAATGTTTGGCAGATGTACTTGGAAGCAGGTTGAATTGACTAAATGCACCTAAGGCCAAATTTCACAGAAATGTGCGCCTTCATTTCATTAGATTCGATTAGGTCACAGCCACATTCCTGGGGCAGGACCAGGGACAGGGATTAGGTTTCCTCTATATATATTTCAGCCTGTTTGGCCTAACTACCCACAAAGTTTGCACAGGTCTGCACTTGCAGTCATGGGAGCCTGGGCCGCGCTGATTAAGGCGTTGAGTCACTCTCACAAGGAGCCCCTGTGGGGAAACAGGAAGCTGGAAATCAAGTGATCCGGGATTCTATTCCTGGCTGTGCTCACCGACCCTCGTAACCTTGACCAAATCCCCATTTTTTTCCTTTTTTTCTTGCCCCAGGTTCAGTTCTGTGGCCTTAAAGCAGGAATAAGCATAACGCTCTTCACCCTATTTTATGGAAATCAGAGATTTTCAGAACAGAAAGGTTCCCCAGCCCCAAGTCTCACTTTATTAACAAGCAAACTGGGTCACAGGCGTAATTAGAGTCCAGGTTTCCTGGCT